TGAGAAGCCCAGGCGGAGGATGTGGTACAGAGCGCTCCGCCCGCAGCTGAGATGTTCGCATGACCCATACGGCCACCCTTCGAGTGATGAGGAGGTCCAGGGGGGTGGGAGGGACCAACGTCTCATTCCATCGAGCTCACCATCGATTTCACCATTGATCTCACTACCGATCTCACTATCGATCACACTGTCGATCTCCCGAGTGAGCTCACTATCGATATCACTATCTATCTCACTATCGATCTCACTCAGTACTGATCTCATTATCGACCTCACTATCGGTCCCATCATCGAGTCATTGTCGATCTAACTACTGATCTCATTATCGATCTCAGTATCGATCTCGCCACGGGACGCCGACGGGACATCACTAACGATCTAATGATCTCACGATCGATCTCATTCGATTGATCGGATTCTCGATATCACAATCGAATGCATGATCAATAGCACAATTGATATTATGATCCCTCCCACTGTCGATCCAACTATCGATCACACTATCGTTCTCACTTTCGGTACCACTGTCGATCTCATTGTCGTCCTACTGCCGATGTTACGATCAATCTTACCATCGATCTCATGATCGATCTCACCGTCGATCTTACTATCGATCCCACTGTCGAGATCTCGATCGATGCCACTATCGGCCTCACTATCGATCTCACTATCGACACCACCACGGGGCACCGACGGGCCACTGGCGGGACACCCCCGGCCAGCGCAGGACAGCCCCCGAAGGGAGCGGCCTGTTGGCCCGGCGGCGCCCCAGCCAGAGGAGGGTGAGTTTCTCGTGCCCGCCTGCGCAGCTGAGCCTCGCCCGCGCGCACGGAACGAGCACGAAGCCGAAGCAGATTTCCAAGCGGGAGGCTCTCTTAGGGGAACAAGAAGTGACATAAACATAAAAACTCGGAGGTCCGCGCGGATTTCTCGGATCGGCGCTGGGGCCCCCCGGCGGCGCCTCCAGCGCCGCCCCTGGCGCGCTCCGCGCGCCAGGGAGGGGGGTCCAGCGCCGATCCGAGAAATCCGAGCGGACCTCCGAGTTTTAATGGTTCTGTCACTTTTCGTTCCCCTATCTCTGGTTCACTGCGATCTCTCCCCCTCGCCTCCGATGCGTCGCGTGGAAATGATACGCACGTACTTGGCCCAAGATATGAACGCAGGTGGGGCTCGATACTTCAGGGCGGTCCTAATCGTTGGTGTCTGGGCAGTGCCAATAGCCCCACGAAGCCAATCGCTGCAATCGCGGTGTCGGGTCATAGGGCAGGGAAGCAGCGTATCAGGTCCTCGAGGTCTCTGCAGTGCCCCCAGAATCCCGAAAAGACCGAAAACATCTAAATCAATGATTGAGTTTCTGTAGATATGACTTAATATGGTAAGTTCGTCCTCGAGCTCGCTCCTCGAGCCTCATCCTTCTTCTCCCCTCCTCCTGTACACACTTGCCCTTGCCAAGCTTGCATACAGAAGGGTGGCATTCAGGCCTCATCAACTCGCTGATGATACGCATACAGTGGCTTGCGTAATCATTATCGTGTCGTCGTCGTCGTCGTCATCGTCATTGTTTTCGTTCCCAGACATCTGGCGTCTCGATTTTTTCAAGACACGGGCCCCCGACCTCTCGACTACTTCCCTGGGACCGGTTTTTCATCCCGAGTCGTTCTTTGACGGCCCCGAGGCCTGGCGAGGGCCTCGAGAGCCTGAAAACGACGAAAATCTTCCGTCCCGATTTTTTCGAGACGCCCGATGTCTGGATTTGTCACCGCCCATCGCTCCTGTGCGATGTCTTCTTGTCGATGTTCACCCGCCGTCTGGCACTCAGCTGGCAGCACCTGCCTCCAGGGATTGCTCTGGGCCCTGTCTGCACACGTGCGCTGGGCCTACGAGCACTGCTCGGCTCTGCCTTCCAATCCTCATACTCGTCCTCTTCCTTATTCTCCTCGACCTCCTCCTCATCCTCCTCCTTGTCCTCCTCCTCCTCATCTTTCTCCTCCCCCGTCCCCCTCCTTCTCTTTGTCCTCCTCCTCCCCCTATTCCTTCTCCTCCCTCCTGCTCTTCCTCGTCCTCCACCTTCCCTCTTCCTGGACGCAGCGGAGGTGTTCGAGGCCAACATGTCGAAGAAGCACCCCCCAACGGTGAGGAAGGGGACCGGCTGGCTGATGGACTGCAACATCTCTCCTTCCCTTCCTCTTGGCGAGGAGGTGGATGGATTGCTCCCGCTTCTTTTGCCATGGCGTGACGGGCTTTTTCAGAATCCGCAGGTCTTCCGACTCGCGCATGCAGTTTCCAACGCAGATGCTTCGGCAAAAGAATTTGCTTCTGCCATCGCAGTTCCTAGCAGCCTCTGTATCGTTGCTGGATCGCGCGCCGCGCAGGGAGAACGCGATCGCGAATCGCGGCACCGCGAGCATTTTCGTGTAGCGATGTGTCTGCTCCACCCTAGCAGCGTGAGACAACAAAAGCAGGCACTGGCATATGTACTGACCGATACGTCAGGCAAACACCTCTGCCTCCTCGAGCGAGAGCGCGAAGAGGAGGAGGAGGAGGAGGAGGAGGAGGAGGCGGAGATAAGGAGGAGGAGGAGGAGGAGGAGGAGAAGAAGGAGGAGGAAAAGGACTCCCCTCTGGGACCCCCCCCCTGGGGAGGAGGACAGGAGGAGCACCGGCTCTATTTCCATACATCGGAGTTCATTGGCGAGAGCGACAACACCGACACTACTTATTTTCAGACTGCTCGTTCAGTACTCAACACGCAGACCAGGGAGGGACACATGGAAGGGGCTCACCGTGCATGTACGGAATCGTGCGGTCTGAATTGGTTCAACCACGCGCAGAGGGGAGTGAGGGAAGGGGGGGAGGGCTTTTTAGAAGCACCCCTGCTTCTTAGAAGGCGCGGGCCGTATCTATAGATGTAAGGCCGGCGCCTTCTAAGGAGCAGCCTCCAAGAAACCATCCCCCCGCCCCCCACCCCCTCGTGCGCGCCGCCAAGACACATGGAAGGGGTTCACCGTGCATGTACGGAACCGTGCGATCTGAATTGGTGGTGTGAGGAAGTTGCGGGAACACGGTGTGGGATGGGCAGGTTGTGCTTGGGCTTCGCTCGACAAGACCCGGCATGCTCCACTCTGAAGGGGCCTTACTCGACAGGCCTCTCGACAGGAATTCCTTGCCAGGCCCCAGGAAAACCTCGACAGGGTAAGAAAAGCCGGTTGGGCGGGTGGGCCCCAGCGGACGAGTCAGCGCCAGGGGAGGAAGACCCCGGGGCGGTCCGGGAGGCGGCCCCGGGATGAAGACCCAGGCTTGCCTAGAAAAAAGGAAGGAACGAGACGAGGGGCGGGGACGACGACGACGATGAAATTGAGTCGGCCCGGGGACGAAGACCCTGGAGCAGGCGGCCCCGGGAGGAAGACCCGGGGCAGGTCGGGCGGGCGGAGCGATAAAGCGGGCGGCTCACCGACCGTGCGGACCCCAACGGCCGGAGCTGGCGGCGGACCTCACCAGGCCGTCGGGCGGGCCCGCACGGGCGGCTTCGGGCGCGCGGGCCCCTCGCGGGCGGCGTGTCGGGCGGGCGGGGGCGTCAAAGTGGGCGGGCGGGCTCCGACCGCTCGGCCCAGCGGGCCCCACCGCGCGGGTCGGGCGGGCGGGCCCCGACGGGCGGGGCGAGGCGGGTGGGCCGCAACAGGGGGGCGGACCCTGATTGGTGGGGCGGTCCCGCACGGGCAGGCTGGGCGGGACGCGGCGGGCCCTTGGCCGTGGGCAGGGCGGGCGGATCACTCAAGCGCGAGTTCTAGACGCAGCATGGGTCAAGCAGTGGCGAAGCGTCTTGGCGTGCCTAGAGCCCTACCAAACAATGTTCGAAGAACCCTTTGTGGTTCCCACGAAATGTTCTTTGAACATTTCTGGTTGGGACTGGTTTGTTTTATCGCATCAGGCTTATGTTCTGAGAACATTGTTTTTGTTATTAGAACATTTTCGGGTTCTACGAACATTTCGTGGTAGGACTATAGGAATGCCGGGACGGTCGTTCCCTGCTCAAATGGGGGCTTGTCGGGCGGGAGCGCGATTCCCGAGTAATTCGCCATACGTTCTCGGGCGAGAGTGCAATCCCTGAGCGGCGGAAGCGTGATCCCTGGCTCACTGGCGAGGAGGTCGATGCGAGCACCATTCTTGAGCAGCGAGGGCGCGATGTCTAAGATATGGGGGAATCCCAGGCGGGTGCGCGACTCTTGTGAACAAGTGCGAGGACGTCCTGAGCGTGAGCACGATTCCTGAATTAAGTGCGACACAGTATCAGGCAGGAGCCGCTGCTGCTCTAGCCAGGAAGGCGCGCAAAGAGACAGTTTGAGCCTCAAGACCTTTCTGGATAAAAGATGGTTCGAGCACATGGGGGGACTGTAAAGGGAAAAGCCACAAATGGGAACCGGGGGGATGCAACAACACACAAGACATCGTCTTCGACCTCGATGCTCGCACTTCGGTCGTCGATCCCCGATGCTTCGTCGCCGAGGGCGCGCGGGCGGACAGCGAGAGAGTGGGGGGAGGTCACCGCCTACAGCGGCGCATCGGAGTTCACCCGGGTCACCTTCTGGCCAGACTTGGCGAGGTTCGGCATGAGGACGGCAGGGGGGGGTGGAGTAGGATGAAGGGGAGGGCTCCGGAGCGACTCTGTATCGCCCTTCTGTGTTTTTCTCCTTCTGTCTCCTCCTCCTCCTCCTCCTCCTCCTCCTCCTCCTCCTCCTCCTCCTCCTCCTCCTCCCCCTTCTGTGTCCTCCTTCTCCTCCTCATCCTCCCCCTTCCCCTTTCTCCAAAGTCGCCCTTTCTCCTCACCATTCTCCCGCCCATCATCCTCCCGCTCCTCCAGCTCCTCATCCTCACGCTCCTCTTCCCGTTCTTCCTCCTCCCGCTCCTCCCTCATCCTTCGGTTTTTCGACCTTCTCGCCCTCCTCTCTATTGGCGCAAGCCCCAGCGGCCAGCAGGACCCTCGACGACGACATCGTGGGCCTGATGATGAAGTGGCCAGGGAAACACGGGAGAACCAGGGATCTTGGGAATATCCGGAGACCCCAGGTTCCAGGGATCTCTTCTGTGTTTGTTCTCTCCCCGTTGTCGCTGCCGTCGCCGTCGTCGTCGTGATCCTCCTCTTGTTTATTTTGGTTTTCAACTCTCAGAAAGAATAATTCTTGTTTATCCGCCCCCTACGGGAACATTATGCGTTTTCAATTGACGTGCCACTATCGGGGCTCACGCCTTTTTTTGTCAAGGGAAGGTCTCTGGTCTCCACATTATGTCGTTTTCCGAATCGCGCTCTCGCGCAAGCCTTCCCGGCAACTCACTCAGGAATCGCGCTCTCGCGTGGGACCTCTCAGCGATGCATTCAGACGCCGCTCGCTCTGGATGTCCTCTCGCTAGAAGCTTCCTGGCGGCTTGTGTTATGATGTTCCAACCGACTTCAGCCTTGACCACCAGAAAGAATTGCGAGCACCAAGAAAGGACTGAGACTCGAGGGTTTTCACGTGTCGGGCCCTGGGAGACACTCGTTCGGCATTGTTTCGGCATTGTTTCGATACTTTTTCTACACTTCCGGGTGCTCGAAATTATTTCTGGGACGTGGTCCTCCAGTACGACGGGAGCAACATCAGGCTTTTGCAGAACTCACGCTTCAGCGACCTTCCCGCTCGACCCACCCGTCCAGGCCGGAGTCGCCCCTCGCGCTGCGGCGAGCGAGGGGGGGAGGTGAGAAGGAGGAGGCTTTCTCAGAAGGCTACGGGGCTTCTCAGAGGCCCTCCGGCCTTGGGAGAAGTGCTCTGTCTCTTCGGGGAAGGCTTCCCCCCCTCTCAGTGGGGGAGGTGAGAAGGAGGAGGCCTTCTCAGAAGGCGACGGGGCTTCTCATGCCTTGGGCCTTGGGAGAAGTCCTCTGTCTCTTCGGAAAGAGCTTCCCCCTTTTCAGGGGGGGAGGTGAGAAGTAGGAGGCCATCTCAGAAGGCGACGGGGCTTCTCAGATGCCCTCTGGCCTTGGGAGAAGTGCCCTGTCCCTTCGGGGAGGGCTCAGAAAAAGTCCGCTCAGGAGGCCAGAGGACCTCCGAGCCTCCTTGGAAGGCCTGCTCCCTCTCACTTCCCCCCCAAAAAAGCCCTGCTCGCTCTCACCCCCCCCCCAAGAACGTGTTTCTTTATTGCTTGGGGCATAATGGGCATTATAGCCCCCCCGGCCCCCCCTCCCCCCCTATAACACAATGCCGCTCCCCCCCTCAGCGCTGCGCTCCGGGCACTGCCGCCGTGCGCACGGCAGGGGGGAGGCGTTGCATTATACCCCCCCCCCCTGGCTCCTCCCCCCTCCCTGTAATGCCCACTATCGCCGAAAATACAGAAGCGCTCTCCCAGAAGGCCTGCTCCCTCTCACTCCCCCCCCCCGGCCACCGACTCGCTGCCCTCCGCCCGCCTTCGATGCTCCCGCTCCCTGCCCCTGGTGTTTCCGCCCGTCGCCGCGCCGTCGCTGCCCTCGCGGCCCCCGTCGGTGCCCCATCGCGGCATCCCTCCCCGCACTAGCTGTGAGTCGGGCCTGCCCCTCTACAGGAGGAAGATGCAAAAATCGTCAACAAAAAATCAGGAGACGATTTTTCTTTTAGTTAATCATGATTTGGAAGTCACTTGGACTATTTTTCCGTTTTCGTCCAACACTCGCTCTTAGGGGGACACGCCCGACCTCAAGCTAGCTTTCCTCCTTGCTCTCCATGTTGAACTGTACAGTCGAGGCGTTGAGGTGAGGACCGCTCTGGGCTCGTGCGGGGCTCTATTTTTTTCGGGCCGCTCCTTGGGTCCAGTTCGGGGGGAGCATGTTCGTGGCCGAGGCTCGCCATGGCTAGAGAAGTCTTTGTTTTCGTCCCTTGCTTGGCAGTCCTTCTGGTAGCACGATGGCCGTGCCCCTCCTCTTCCTGCTTCAGGGGCTGCCCTCTTTCGGCCGCGTCCTCCTCATGCTCCTCCTCTTGTGCGTTGGCACATTTCGCTCCAAGGGCACCCCCGTGTAGGCCTTTCCGCTAGCGCAGGCGTCCCCTGCCTCGCCGCTGGCGCAAAAGGTTTCAGGGGCTGCGCCAACTACACTTGACAGGTAAGGAAGGTATGCCCCACAGGGGGCACGAACGAAGTCGAAGAGTGCGGGCACCGTGGGTTTCGGATACGCATGTTGGTTGACACGCCAGCAGATAAGAGCGGACAGTCTGACAATGATTGTTGCAATGCAGTCCCGCAGCAGGTCCCGTGTAGGCCGTGATGTTCATCTTCCGCCTCCTCCTCCTCATCATCATCATCATCATCAGCAGCATCATCATCATCATACTCATCAACATTACCATCACCTTCACCGTCATCATCAGCATTATCATCATCACCATCATCATCATCAGCGACATCATCATCATCATCATCATTATCATCATCATCATCACCATCGTAATCAACATCATCATCACCATCATAATCAACATCATCATCACCGACATCAGCATCGGCATTACCGTCATCCTTACCTTTACCATTACCATCACCATCACCATTACCATCATCATTATCATCTCCCCTCATCATTCCCGTTCCGCATCACACTATCATCTTTCCTACGTTCCGCCCTGATCCATATCCTCCCCCGCCTCATCCCCGTCGCTGTCGTCTTCCTCCCCCCTCGCCTGCCCGTGATCATCCCTGCCCCCTCCGCCGCCCTTGTCCGCCAGCGGCTCGGGTGGAGCACGGGCGGAGGCGGGTCTACGACATTGCCGGCTCCACGAACAAGAGGGTCAAAGTGGTGTTGAATGGCAAGACGCTGCCGGCGCCCTCCCCCCCGTCTGAAAGCACATGCTTTTCTCCTCCTCCTCCTCCTCCTCCTCCTCCTCCTCCTCCTCCCCCTCCTCCTCTTCCCCCTCCTCCTCCTCCTCCTTCTCCTCCTCCTCCTCCTCCTTCTCCTCCTCCTCCTCCGCCCCCCTCCTCCTCCTCCTCCTCCTCCTCCTCCTCCTCCTCCTCCTCCTCCTCCTCCTCCTCTTCCGTTCCCTCTTCCGTTTCATCCTCCTTCAGAGGGAGGGAAGAGAACGAGGATGAGGGGGTGAAGAATGATGAGGAGGAGGGGGAGGACAATCATCAGGACGTGAAGAAGGGAGGGTTGAGGATGAGGTATGGGGCGTGGACGAGGATGGAGGAGGAGGATGATGGAGGAGGAGGAGGAGAAGGAGGAGGAGGAGGAGAAGGAGGAGGAGGAAGAGGAGGAATAAGAACGAGGAGGAGGAGCAGGCTGAAGAAGAGAAGGAGGAAGAGGAGGAGGAGGAAGAGGAGGAGGAGGAGGAGGAGGAGGAGAAGGAGCAGGCTGAAAAAGAGAGGGAGGATGAAGATGGCTGTGTGCACGGAACGCTCTGCCGCCCCAGCTCTCGCCCCCCCCCCCCCCCCCCCAAGGGGCTCACCGCTCCCGCAGGTGCGCTGCTTCCAGGACTACGTCGGCATGTACCTGAACCAGGGAGGGGGCGGGGCCGGCGGGCAGCCGAAGAGGGGCCCAGACACCGGGCGTCTCGAAAAAAACGAGACGGGCGTTTCTCGTCATTCGCGGCCTCTCCAGCCCTCGCTGTGCCTCGGGACAGTCAAAAAACGACTCGGGATGAAAAATTGGTCCCGGGGGAAGTGGTGGGCAGAGGGCGGGGCCGGCGGGCAGCCGAGGAGGGCCCTCCTCGGCTAAGGTCGAAGAAGAGAAAGCGCCGTAAACATAAACTTTGGGCGCTCCGCGCAGACTTCTCGGATCCGCGCTGGGGCCCCCCCGGCGGCGCCTCCGGCGCCGCCCCTGGCGCGCTCCGCGCGGGGCGCCAAAAGTTTATGTTCATGGCGCGCTTCCTTCTTCCAGACGAGGGGCCAGTCCTGGGCCCTGGAGGTGCCGTGGTGTTCGGGCTGCTCCGCGGGTCTGGGTCCAGGAGCCTCTTCCTGGCCGGGGCTCGCCGCGGCTAGAAAGGCCCCTTCGTTTGTTGCTCGTACAGTGGAGGCCCATGCAAAGAAGCACCGTGCTTGCCTCCAGGGTGCCCTGGGTTTCTTGGGTCTCGATGGTCTTGCGAAAGAAAGCGTGACGTGCCCGCACCAACAATCAACCGCCGTCCTGGGGTCTCAGGGTCGGGTTTCTTGTGGAAGGGTTCTTGTCGACTGGCCTCAACTGCAACTGGCGTTCCTCAGGAGCACGAGGACTGCAGCGCGGCCGCACTTTAAGAAACCCGGTGATCTTCGATAGGGTGGCCTATGGCTTCTGTCCCTCCGCGCGTTGTGCGGTGGCCTCCCGCGGCCGCTGCAGAAGCTGCTGCGTGGCCGGTGCTCTCGGTTCCTCCCCAGCTGCACCTTGCGCGCGGATTTTCACGGGGATGGGTTTCTTGCGAGGGGCTCTTGCGGCCGGGCCGTTTTTTTTTACATGATTGAGAACTCAGATAACCTTCTTGGCGCAATAACTGTGCAACGGCACAATGAAAATGTCACGGAATACCTCTTGGAGGTTGTGAACATGTCAAACGGTCAGAAGGAAAAGTTGTATGCTTGAAGTGATCCAGACAGTGCTCGTGTCTACAGAGGAGAAAGGAGGACGGAGAGCCCGCCATGTACAGCCAAGGCGCTGAAAGGAGGAACGGTTCGGCCCTTCCCCCTCCGTCCTCCCACCCCTTCGGGCGCAGGTCATGGAGCTTCGTGTACCCTCGCAACTCTGTCTGTAGCGTCGATTCGCATCGGTTAGCGTCTGGGAGTCGATGAGATAGCGCCGGTTTAGCGTCGATTAGCGTCGATCTAGCATCGACTGGTCGATGAGCGTCGATTCGCAAGCGCCAACAGGATGGTATGGGAGGCTCCCATGAGCTGCCACCGAACACCCCCCCTTCCTCCTCCCCCTCTCCTCCTCCCTCCTCCTCCTCCTCCTTCTTCTCCTCCTCCTCCTCCTCCTCCTCCTCCTCCTCCTCCTCCTCCTCCTCCTATCCTCCTCCTCCTCCTCCCCCTCTTCCCCCTCACATCCCCCCTTCCTCCTCCCCCTCCCCGCTCTCCGCCCTCCTCCACCCTCCTCCGTCCTCACCTCCCTGCCTCCCTCCCTCCCTCCCTCCCTCCCGGCCTTCCTCTTCCCCCCTCCCCGCCTCATCCCGCCTTCCCTACTCCCTCCCCCTCCTCCTCGTCCTCCCTTCCCTCGGGGGCGGCAAAGAGGGGGGTGATGATTAGGGGGGGGATATCGTGGCGTGGGCCATGATATTTCCCACGATTTCATGGCGCCTCTTCTCATTTCATTACGTCCCTGGCCCCCCCTTTTGGCCGCGCACATGCCGCCGGCCATGATTTGCACCCCCCCTCTTGGACGCCCCTCCCTTTGCCGCCCCCGATTCCCTCTCCCCTCCTCTCACACGGCGCTCCGCTTCTGGTGCGCCGCTCACCAGCGCCCACCCGCGCGCGTGCCCGCCCGCAGCCGCGGGCACGCTGCGGCGGCCGGGCAGGGGACTTCAAGCACGAGCCGGTGTACGAGCGCTGCAGCGACCGCTGGGAGCGCGCGGGGCCGCGCGCCCGTCCTGGAGATCCGACGCTCCAACTAAAACATAGGAGCGGGCGGTTTTTGGCTGCTTTCCACCTCTGGGGGCCATCGCCGGGCCTCGGGACCGTCAAAACACGATTCCTCCGGAAGAGAAACTGGCCCTAGGGAAGTGGTCCGGACCTCCGGGGCCCACGCATCGAACAAGTGGAGCAGCCAGATGTACGGGGATGGCGGAGGGTCGACGACGGTAGGTTTGTGTTAAGTCGGGCGAGTCCTTCTGTAGGGGGAATATTCAGAAAAAAATAGTCAGGGGACGATTTGCTCTACAGTTTTGGCTTATGTTTGGGTATGTGTCTGAATATGTTCCATGTTTCTCCCAAGATCAGCCTGTAGAGGGACCTGCCCGATCTGACGGGAGGTTCGTGCCGTGCCGACGCTGCGGCGACCCCGCCGCGGGCGCTCCAGGTGGAGCGCCGCCAGCGGCCCGGAGTCGGCTGATGCGGGGCGACCTGGCAGTTGAAGCGCGGCCAGCCGTTCCAGGTCGAAAACGGTGGGGGCGTTCGTTTTAAGGAGCGTGCCCAGGAGGCTGCAGACCCTGGAGGGCTCCTTATCTGATGCGGGCGGCGGTGATATCCGTGGCCAGTCCACGATGGGAGTTCCACTGGCAGGTGACCTGGCAGGTGAAGAGCGACCTGGCAGGTGAAGAGCGGCCGGCCGTTCGAGGTCGAGAGAGGTGGGGGCGTTCGCTAAGGCACGTGCCCAGGAGGCGTCAGACCCTGGAGGGTTCCTTATCTGACGACCTGGCAGGTGAGGCGACCTGGCAGGTGAGGAGCGGCCGGCCGCTCGAGGTCGATAACGGTGGGGGCGTTCGCTGAGGAGCGTGCCCAGGAGGCGTCAGACCCTGGAGGGCTCCTTATCCGATGCGGGCGGCGGTGATGTCCATGGCCAATCCACGATGGGAGTTCCGCTGGCTTCCAGACCGTGGATTCCTGATCGAAGGTTTCCTTTTTAGCCAATGCCCCCACCGTGATCCACGCGGCGTCGGAAACCGACACCGGCCCGGGCCATCACGACACGAGCTTGCCGCATCCTCTGAGAAAATTCACCGACACAGGCAAAAAAATCCGAGGGCCGCACGGATTTCTTGGATCGGCGATGATCCTTTTGGCTCTGTTGTGGACATAACCCTCACCCTGACACGTGGATTAGCGAATTGTCCGTTTTCGGTTCTCGAGAGGACGCCGCGGCCGTCATTTTCCAGGCTTGCGCCCGCCAGGTTTCGGCCCGAGGTCGCTTTCGCTAAACCACGTTTTACTCAAGGGGGTTCTGTCCATCCCCGATTAGCTGTGCCTCCAGCGCCGCCCCCTGGTGCCCTCCGCGCGCCAGGGAGGGGATCCAGCGCCGATCCAAGCGACCCGCGCGGGGCGGCCTCCGAAAGGTTATGTTTATGTTAAGTTAGGCTGTCCCGCTACAGGTGGAATATCCAAAAATAGGTTGAAGATATCTCGGGGATGATGTTCCATTATTTGTTGATTTCTGTCGGGCAGTGTTTGATTCTGTTTTATTTCTCATCCAAAATCCGCCTGTAGGAGGACATGCCCGGCCCAACGTGTATGCTGGTTTTTCTGTACTCGTAGGAGTGGCCTTTGTTATGGGCCCACTGGGGCCCTCCGACCGCCGAGCGCGAGGCGGCGGCAGCGGCTTGCGCGCCTGGGTGTGCCCCCCCCCCCCCCCCCGCGACCCGCTAGAACCGGAAACCGAGGGGGACTTTGCCTCGGCTCGCTCGTGCGCGTCGCAGGTGGGCGCGCGCATCGCCGCGCGCCCGAGGGCGAGACGCGTTGCGCGCCTGGGTGTGGCTCCCCCCCCCCCCCGCGACCCGCTAAAACCGGAAACCAAGGGGGACTCTGCCTCGGCTCGCTCGTGCGCGTCGCAGGCGGGCGCGCGCATCGCCCGCGCGCCCGAGGGCGGAGACGCGTCAGGCTCGTCGTGCCGTGGCAGCGACGGCGATGGTTTCTCACACTGCGTTTGTCGTAGAGCCTTCGGCGATCGCGGCCCTCCGATGGCGCGGACCGCCCCATGTACTCCTCCTCTTCCTCCTCCGCCTCCTCCTCCATTCCTTTTCCCGATTAATAACCTCTCCCTGTTGCACCCTGAGGCCAGTTTGTGGGGCGGGCCGGTCATTTCGCCTGAGACGTCTTCACCATGTGTGATTCTGCAGCTTAAGCAGTGGCAACAGTTTCACAGATGGAGGGCGGATGGTTTTCAAAATGTGGCTCTCGCCTCAGCGCGGCGCACATTCGTTCCAACAATTAACAAGAGCTTCACGGATTGAGGGCGGGTGTTTTTCAAAATGTGGTTTTCGTCTCAGCGCGGCGCACATTCGTTGTAAACGAATTGCAAGAGCTTCGCGGATTGAGGGCGGGTGGTTTTCAAAATGTGGTTCTCGCCTCAGCGCGGTGCGCATTTGTTGTAACAGAATTTCATGAATTTCACGTATTGAGGGCGAGCCGCTTACAACATGTGATTCTCATTTGAACGCCGCGCACATTCTTTTCAAAAGCTTGTAAAAGTTTCACGGGTTCCCATCATCAACGTACCAGAAATGGTCTTTGGGAAGGATTCAGGATTGTGCGGGTGCAACAGTTACGTTGGTTCTCTGTGTTGAAGTCCTATGAATGGCGTTCTGGCACGATTCAGGACCGTCAAGAAGCAACAGCAAGGCTGATCCGTGGCGTTGGAATCCCGGGAACAATATTTTGGCATGCTCCAGAGTCTTCAAACGGGTGTCTTCCAACGAGGCAGTTCCATCAATGGAGATGAGCCGCTGTAGGGGCCCATGAAGAGGGAGCTTGGCGGGAGGGTTCACTCCAACATCGTTGATGACTCTTGGGCTTACACTGGTCCTCCTCCTCCTCCTCCTCCTCCTCCTCCTCCTCCTCCTCCTCCTCCTCCTCCTCCTCCTCCTCCCTCTCATCCTCGACATCTGGCGCATCGATCTTCTCGAGCCGCTGGGTGTCTGGGTATCCCCCTCCCTGCGGCAGGTTCGCGCCGTGGCGGCGCGGCGGCCGCCCCAGCGGGGGCGTTCCAGGCTGAGCGCCGGCGGCGGCCCGGCACCGCCCGGGTCTTCAGGCAGTGACGGAGCGTCCCGGCGTGCTTAGAGGCCCACCAAACAATGTTCTGAGAGTCTCTTGTGATTTCTACGAAACGCTAGAACGTTTCTGGCGGGGGGGGGCCTCGTTCTAGTGCATCGGGTTCATGCTGGAAGAACTTTTTTGGGGTTCTTTGAGTATTTTGGGGTTAAGAGCATGCAGGAGCGAAAAGAACCCACAGACACAATGAATCGTCGATTCCCCCAAAAAATATTGGAAACTATGGGAAGTGGGGGGGGAAGACAAACCCATACAATACGGGAAACTATGGGGAATCTTGTTATTTGCGTAAATTGATTTGTGTGTCCCAGGGCCCTTTCAAACATGTCGTGGTAGGCCTCTAGGAATGCCGGGACGGTCGGTCCCTGCTCAAGATTTGCAGCAGCACGCGCGCGAGCCCGAGCGGCCGAGTCGGGCGCTCTGGGGGCCTCTGCCGAAGCATCCAGCATTGCCTAGACTTGAGTCGGGCGTGTCCCTCTACAGGAGGAATCTCAGGAGGGGAAAAACATAGACACAATCAATCGTCGATCCCCAAAACAATTTGGGATTCGGGAAAATATGAGAAGTGGGGGCGAAGACGAAAACCAAGAACAGATTGCAAAATGTTGGGAATCCTGGGACTCGTGTGTATTTGTTTGTGTGTTCCTGGGCCCCTTTAATTCGTGTGGTTCGTTGTCCCTGGGCCCCTTTATAGTCAGACTGTGTGCTTCATGTTTTCCTGCAACTCGCTGTGTCGTTCTCGTTTGATACATTCGCATATCTGAAATGTAGGAAACGGTGTTTCGTGATTTCCTACGTTCTGTTTTGCGTGAGCTTGGTGTCGCAAAAACACCATTCCCAACCGCACCGTTAACCAAGCACGCCGTCAGCTCGGCCTTGAAGTCAGGGGACGACATTTCGATTAGTTTTTGACCATGATGGGGCATTTTCTGCTTTTTGATTTTTCGCCCAAAATTCGCCTGCAGGGGGGACATGCCCGACCTAAGCCGAAACGTCAGTTGCCCGAGGGCCGCGCGCATCCCTTCGCTGGGCCCCGCACCCCCTTGTGACGCGCTGCCCCTGACGACTGCGCGGACCTCTGGAGGTAGGTGCTCCTACTCGCAGGGGCTGTCGCAATGTCGCCGACCCCCACAAGAGGTATGATGTTCCAACCTATTGTAGCCTTGATCACCAGAAATAATTTCGAGCACCAAGAAAGTACCGATGCTTGAAGGTTTTCACGCGTGAGGCCCTGGGAGGCGATACGCGTTCGACACTGTTTCGATACCTTTTATTTCTGGGCGCTCGAAATTATTTCTGGGAGGCGGTCCTTCAGTACGATGAGAACAACAGAACACAATAGGTAGTG